GACCTCAACTAAGCTTCTCTTGAACCTGAATGATGTTTACCATGCCTTGATAATCATCCAAGCTTTGATTTGCTTGTTGTATGTTGTTTTCAACCCAGATCTGCTCAATAAGGCCATTTAAAACTTCACACATCTTCTTAGCTCTAACTCGCGTGATTGGACCTCCTTGGGTGTGTAATGGATCACATGACGTAGTAGATATGCTGTCATCTTGATTCCCATCACTTGTTTACTATAACCAAAATCCTTAACGTGCTTCCAAGGTAATCTTGAGTTTACTGTTGACTCAATGTACTCCAAGAAGGGGGGTGAATTGGAGTTCCAAAAATTCTCCCCTTTTTGCAACCACAAAACCAAAAATAAAGAGAGTAGAGAAGAAGAGCTTGCTCAATGATTTGATAGAGGTTCGGTCCAACTACTTGGAGCCTAGTCCTCTACCTTGGCTTCACTCACCAAGGATTTCCTCCACACTTTCCACTAACAACAACAAGGGTGGCTTAAAGGGGCCACTCAATCCTTTTACAAGAAAATTAGTATTTCTCTCAAATCTCACCCCTTTACATATAAACCCCAAGAATCCCCCTATAGATCACTCTTGAAGGATTAATCACACCCCCAAGATCACTCACAAATAGAACAAGAAGAGGATTACAAGTAAAGATCTCTTAAAAATCAAAAACTCAAGTTAAAGCTCATGTAGGTAGGTAAAGATATTCAATGCAATGCTCTCTAAACTTCTTCAAATCTTTTACCAACCATATTTATAGACCCTTGCTCGAAGATAGGCGTTTCTAGCCGTTGGGGGTCATTAAATGCTCTGTAGGACGCAAAGCTCGAGTTGCAGGATTGTCAGGAAAGCTGGCTCTACACAACCGGCTCACCATTTCTGTAGCCGGCTTTGCGGGATTCTGCACATTCTGTTTCTCCGTAGAGCCAACTGCAAAACGCAAAGCCAACTTTGCGGGTTTGCTGCACATTCTGTTTTCTTTCACAACTGGCTACAAAAAACGTAGAGCTGGCTTTGGTATTCTGACTTTAAAAAATATTAATTATTCTTCAAATAAGTCGATTGTTGTGCATTAAATGCACCCTTACAGCCGGCTGCAAAGTTAGAGCCGGTTTTGTGTCTTTTCTCCGTGCACGCCAAACAACGGACCTGTAAATCTTTACCCATAGAGCAGGCTGCAACTTCCAGAACTGGCTCTCTGCATTTCCATTTCACCAAAGCCAATTGCAGCTTTCAAGAGCTGGTTCTTTGCACATACTCAAGCCTTTCTGGTCCATTTTTAAGTGTAGTCCAAGTTTACTTGCAATCTTTTAGCAATTTAACTACACACTTAATTAAATCAATTAGTCATTTAAATGTGTTTAGTAATCATCAAAATCATAGGTACAACATTTACTATGCAAGAACTAATCATTTCTACAATATTGTCTAATTCAAGGTGCATTTCATTTTCCAACGATGTTCTTCTAAGAGTCTTTTCACAAGGAAAAATCGAGTGGAAAAAGAGGATTGTTGGCAAATCCTTTTTCTTGCTTTTCTTGCAAAAACAAGTAAAACACATTTAGTCCAATTTCTATCAGGAGATGTTGCTAACAAGATTAGTTGTTTTCTTTATCTTTTAGCATCCCAAAATCTATAACTATTATTTAAAATTAGTAAAGGTACATAAAAAATTAAGAATTATAGTATAAATTTATATTTTTAAATATGCTGCTATGTGAAAAAAATTGGTATAAAGTGTTGTCAACTAAAGCTATTTACCTTACAATCAACAATTTTTATAATGATGTCATGTGTCCATATAGAGATTGAGCAGCCATAAATTTTTCATAATTAATTGAAAAATAATTTGTTATGTTTTGGTACATTAAAGCTTATTTTATGTTGTCATGGGTTGTTACAGGTTACTTTTACTAAGCCAGAGCCTTTGGTATTTTTGTTAATTAAACGGCAAGAGTCCAACTTTATTTGTTTGATGTTAAGAGTGTTTGTTGGGTTACAAGCGGAATCACATGGCCCACAGGAGAGTGCAATTCAAATACTTTTTTGGACTCTAGCAACTAAAGATTCATGGGTTAGTGTTAGCATTTCATTTGGAGTCAAACTTTCATCTCCTTGTTCTTCGAGAAATTGCAGGCTTGAGAGTTGATTCAAAATGGGGATTTGACTCGGTCAATTGAAAAGAGTGTGGTTCATTTTTAAGATTTCCAACTGGTAGAATTTTAGTGGTTTCTAGCTGCGAATTTCTATTTCTGGCTAACCTATAGATTATATGATGGAGAGAACTTCAAGAATATTGAGATTGTTTTCATCGTGGATGGGGGAGATGATCCGTATCTGATTTTTGCTGAGCGGATGCTGTTATGGAGGCCATTAAATATAAGTTTTTTAACACATTTTTTGATTCCATCACTCTTGCCCTTCAACACAAATCAATTATTTTTCAAAGTTTTTTGTTCTACCCAAGCATCTTTTAGTTTAGTTTACCTAGCAATTCCTTAGCTCAAGATTATTTTTCAGCAATTTATCTTTGAATTCACAGTTCAGTAGGTGTAAAACAGAGGATTTCTTTCATTGTGAGTTTAATTTTGATAAAATAAATCTTTTTGATGCTAATCTCGTTTTTGTTGTTTGACTTAAATTCTCAATTATTCAGCATTTTGATATAAATTCAAATATGGCAACGATTTCAATTAGACTTGAATCTCTTTACATTTTTAATGCAATTTACAATTTGGTTGATCTCTAGCTTACTGCATTTTCTAAATTTCTGTTAGCTTACGATATTTGCCTGTACTTTATGTTCTCTCTAACTTTATTTGTTGCACTTTTATTTATCAATTTTCGGCAGTTATTTTTAGCTCATTTATCTTCTAGCACTTTAATTTAATATTTCTTGATACTTTTACCATAACCAAAGTTCTTAAGGTACTTCCAAGGCAATTTTGAACACAATGTGCAATAACTAATCTCTCATTCCTGCCATTCATCTGATTCGGGTACATTTTATCTTAAATGACATTTTTCCAATAGCTCTTTCCTGCAAGAAAAAACCAAGTGAAAGAAAAGGGTTCTCAACAAATCCTTTTCCTATTTTTCTAGCCAAACAAAGTGGCATAACTTCGTTCTAATTTCTACCACAAGGCGTGGCTTACAAGATTTTAAGGGTATTGGAAGCTCAAGTCATGATATTGACCATGCACCCAGTATTAAGGCCACCTACTAGCCGAAGTAGCTTTTGCCATCGAGTCAGCTCCAATTGGAATGTGAACAAAAGTACAGAGAAAAGTTAGATGACAGAACTTGAACATCATCCACCAACGTACATTAAAATGAACCTCCCAAAAAAGGTTGGACTACTGCTTTTTTAAGTACGACGGGACAAATGGATTTATACAACTGCAAAACTATGCAGTAATCCCAGAGTCTTCATAGACGAAAAGTAGTGTGAAAATTAAGGTGTACATGTAAAACTAATGACTAATGTTGACTTCTAGTGTTATACATATATTTATATCCTTTCAACAAGGCTTTTGTATCATTGACTCGTCAAAATAGGCCCATGGTTTTGCTCATCGCAGGCTGCACCAAAAAATACATTAAAAGTATTATTGAAAAATAAAACTGTGAAATCATCCAAGAAATGTAATCTTTAATAATATTAACATTGGCTATCGAAATACAGATCACCATGAAGTTATGAAATAATAATTCACAGGCTATAAACATGATGCTGACTGAAAAACAAAAGAATAATCAGAGATAGAGATCACAAGAATGGATTCAAGGGATAATATGCTTCAAAACATAACCTATGAAACGAAAGAAATGTAGAAAAGAGGTGGTGTTTCAGTTATTCTACACATGGCATTTTACGTATTGAGGTCCATTTTTTTTTTTTGGTTTCCCGCCCAGTATCCGGGGACTTCACCCGACTAATCCGGATCGACCCGCGTCGCGCACCTGGAAATGGTGGGTGAGTCTCCTAACGAAAACTGCTGCGTACATAAGGTCTCGAACTCGAGACTTTGTTTAAGCTAGAACAAGCCACTTACCACTTGATCCAACCTCTCGTTGGTATTAAGTTCCATTGATGCATAATGCATTTTGACAAAAAAAGTTTAGTTTATTCATCAAAAAGGACTAGATCTATAAAATCTGAGAAACAAAGATCACCGAAGGTCAAGCAAATATGAAACCACAACTCCAAAATGACACCACTTAACTGTTTCCTTTTTTTTTTTTTTTTTTTTTT